AGAGACAGAAGTAAAGAAAATAGACACAATACCTGTTCTTGAATAATTCATATTTAAGTCAAAGAAATTAACAAAAATGAGAAATGATACTTATATTATTAGTAAGCAGTAAACGTGATGAGGTAAAGTAAAATGGAAGCCAGGGGTAATGGAGGACATTTCTAATTCCAGCTCTCTAGAGACTGAGGCAGAAGGATAAAGAGTACAAGATCGGTCCGGGTTAAATAATGAGTTCCAGGCCAGCCTTGGCTACATAGTAAGACTCTGTTCTAAAATGAATGAATGAATGAATGAATGGGGAAAAGAGATGAGTGGAAGGGAATATTTCCTGAGTGGAAAGTGAGGGTGTGGCCTGTGATGGAATCTGGAGAAGAGTATTCCAGGCAATAGGAATCATAAGTAGGATCTCTGACTTAAAACTATGCCAAGTTGTTTAAAGGCTACTGGGGAGGCCACTGTAGCTGGTGCACATGCATCAGGGAAGGGAGTGGGAAGTAAGGGCCTAAAGCTCTGCACGTAAGAGTAGGGAGGATTGAGCAGATTCTCCTAAGTCTTGCAGGATATTGCTAGGACTTTTTTTTCCCTATGAGATGAATAAACATTTGGGGATGTTTAGGTGGTTCCCATGTTTTCCATATCATATATCATGCTTTGTAATTTTCCTACATCAATATGTGTCCAGATTTTGGAATATGTCCCTAGGAAAAATCCCTAGAAGTTACTGTCTTTGTAAAATGTTAAGAATGATTTGAAGATTTTGTTGCATATTGCCAAGGGGCTTTCTAGAAAACCTATACCCAGTTACAACGTGAGTGAGTTCAATAAACATTTGAGCGCCTACTACATAGTCTAGGGACTTGAAGTAGGTTAGGGAACAAAACCAATCTTGCATTCTAGCAATGTCCTTCTTGCCAGCATGTGTCAGAATACTTGTCATGCTATATGCCTGCCAACTCCAAGTATTTCCATTTTTAAAAACTCCAAGGGGAGAGAAAAGAATGTACAAAATAATTTGAATGGTGAAAATGATACACTGCTCCTTTGGATTTGATTTGTACTGTGGTTGAATTGTTTCCTATACATTTTCTAACTAATCAGCCAATTGTCCTAGCTTTCTTGAAAAATCCTTTAGAACCATGGAAGATGATTTAAAGGAGGCAGTTTGAAATGACTAAAAGACTTAACATGTATTTTGGGTCAAGTACATAGTATCTAGGGATTGCTTTCCAGCCACAAGTTCATACAATGGAAGTCTGATGTTATGAGGATTGTTTTAAAGCAACAAGCTTCCTTGGTTATGTCTAGGTAACTTGAGAACTGCCACCCTAGATTACGCCTGTCCATCTATCACCGATTTGAACAAAAGCCAGAAAGGTTAGGCACTTTTGAACAACCTCAGTGTCCCCATGTTACTAGTTGCCCACTTCATTTAACATTAAATCAAAGCATGCATATTTTTTAAACTGTATCACTTGAGGTTTTAGAGTGTAGATTTTCTATCCTCCACATAAAGCAAAACTTTCTTTCCTGGTTTTGGAAAGATGGCTCCAAGGTTAAGAGCACTTGCTGTTCTTCCAGATGACCCCAGTTTAGTTCCCAACATGCACATCCATCTGTTGCGCCAGTTCCAATGTTATCTGCTGCTCTCTGTGGGTACCAGGCATGCAAATGGTGTACATCCATAAATGTGGGCAAAACACTCATACACATAAAATAAAATAAATATTTTCTTTTAAATTTAAAAACTTCCTTGCTTTAATCCGTTCCCTTTCTAGAAGGACGTTGATCTGAATATCGAATCTCTAGCCCTCCATACAATTTCTACACCTTTAATAGTAGTTACCTTGGAGAAAGGAGAATGAAGACTGACAAGAGGGGATTTAATTTTCTTCTATGGTTTTCCACAGTTTGAACTTGAGCAGTCTTGTTATACAGCCCAGGCTAGTCTTGAACTCAGATCCTCCTGTTTCTACCTAAAGACTGCTGGGATTAAAGGTATGTGACACCAAGACTGATCCATAATTTCTAACCTCAAACAAATATAAATTCAAAAAGTTCTAGCAGGAGTTGTCTGGGGTGCCTAATGGCTTCCTTTTTTATTTTAAAAATGGTATTTGTATTCGAAAAGAGTAAATCAGTATTTTGTTATTTGAAATTGCTTCCAATATGGTAAAATAAAATTTGTGTGTGCCTGAGTTTCATTTTTGTTATTGCTTTCACTCTGTACATTTAGGTACTTCTTAAGTTTGTCATAGTGAACATGTATAAGCATTCTTTCTTTTTTAAAATAAACCATTTTCCCCAATGCTTAACATGACATGTGCAGCTGGTTGTCATGGTGCAGCACTCCAGAGGCAGAAGGCAGAGGCAGGCAGATCTCTGAGTTCGAGGCCAACCTGGTCTGCAGAGCAAATTCCATGACAGCCAGGGCTACACAGAAAAACCCTGTCTTGAACAACAAAGAAAGAAAGAAGGGTAGGGGAGAAAGGTGACGTGTGCACCTTGTGAAAAGTTAAGAATAACGTTGTTTGTTTTCAGGCTTCCCTTTACACATTTTTAAGGATGTCATCAAATTCACACGGTATATAGTTTTGCAACCTATTTTTTCTCCTAAGACTGAAATGTAAATAATTTCCCATGATGTGATGATGTTTGAATGGTCCAACTATGATTTTATCACAATACAAAGTGAATTAATTGGCCACTTTTTTGAAGTTAGACATTTGGGTTGTTTCCAGAGTTTCAATATTAAAAATGAATGTGTGATGAAAATCTTCCTAATGAAATCTTTGTCATCATTCTAAGCAGGATGAATTCCTAGAAACGGGATTACTAGGACAAAAATTGTATTTCTAGAAGTGGGTTTCACGAACAGGAAACACTTACGGATAACAAAAGTTGATGCTAACGTCTACTCTGTCACTAAGGTATGGTATGGGAGTATCCCCACTTTCTTTCCAGCATGTTGTCCTTTTCTGCTCTTTACACCCTTCATATAAAAAGGCGGTAGGTAACAATGTTGTCTCCATGTTTCCTTTTAATTACTAGCAAAACTGAACATTTTTCATATGCTTCTTCACCACTGACATTCCTTCATTTTGACTAGAGGATTTGACTAAGTATTTTCTTTTCTTTTTTTTTGCCATATGTATGCATGTGTGACATGTTTACAAGTATACATGTATTATGTAGGTGGTGCATTTGTATGGATGCCAGAGGTTGAAATGTAGTTTCTGCCTCAATTACTCCCTACCTTAAATATTGAGACAAAGGATAGTCTAGCTAACCTGTCTCCTACTCCTCAGCTCTGGGATTAAAGACCAGCTGCCCAACCTTCCATCCTGGCTCTTATACGGGTACTGGGGATTGGAAATCTGGTCCTCACACTTGTATGCCCAGGGTTTTGCCTTCTAAGCCACTTCCTCAGCCCCTTAAAGATTTTATCAATTAAAATGAGCACTTAAAGATAGAAATTTTGCCTTATTAGTTTCAAATAAAAAGTATTTTTCCCACATTTGTTATTTTTTTTTAAATGTCTTAGCTGCTCATGGTTCTTTTTAAAAGGGGTAATTGGATTCTAACCATAGCTGAGTGCTCCCAGTTTGAGCTTGTTTCATGATGATTAAGTTGAAGCCTTTTGACAAAAGATCTGGAGGGGCCGGTTCAGCTAATCCTAAATTTAGCTCTGGGGAAAAAATGTGTGGGCTGGATATAAAGATTGTTTCCCTCACTACACTTTAAGAAGATGAGGGTGGGGTAAACAAGGGATTAAAGCAGTCTTTGCCAAAATTTTTGAGAATTTAGACAATTCTCTGTACAAATCTCTTGCATGGTGGTGGTGGTGGTGGTGGTGGTGATGGTGGTGGTGGTGGTGGTGGTGAACTATGTACAAGTCAGCAGAACTCTATGGAAAAGTACTGCTCTGGTCTGTAGATGTGTGCATGGCTTGGTTTTAATTATTCTTCTCCTCCTCTTTCTTCTGTTACCCTTTCCAAGTAACAATAAAAAGGGCAGCCAGATTAGTTCTCTGAAGAGTAGGGACAACCCTTGTTCCATAGAGGCCTGTTCCCATGCATCCTGTTAGCACATCAGAGGCCTAGGTATCTAGGAAGATAAAGGCTAGGGTCCTTCCAAACTCCAGCATTTGTCAGGGGTTATACTCAGGGTTGCTATGACTGCCAAGGATAGCCTGGACAGACTTCAAATAGAAGCATGTTGCCAAGCAAAGAGACATTATTCTGGTATTTTTATAAGGAAAAAAAAAAGCTCAACAAGAGAATGCCATTTGCTGATGCCTTGTGACTAAGCGTAATCGATGGCTACAAAAGGAAAAAAAAAATAAGAACAAACGCAAAATCTGGCCCCAGATTTTAAAGAATTGACAGGCCTCTGACATGAGTGGCTGTCCTTTGGGTGTGAGCCCGTAGCTTTTAGGCAAGAAATGGAGGACCATCCCAAAATGGATATTCTTAACTGAAAACGGAGGTCTGTAAGGTGGGAAAGGAGTTGAAGGCATGATTTTTCAGACAGCTCCCTGGTCCTGAGGGTATGGCCAGGGGAGGCTGTATGAGGGGCTTTGAAATGGGAGAGAAGAAAGAAAAACGCGGCCCCATTTTTAACAGACGTCATTTGCAGTGAGGAGCAGGCCTTAGAGGCCTTCAGAGGCAAGGCTCTCCCAGGGGGTCGGCAGGAAGCTACCCACTGTACCCACCCAGGAGACTTCGCTGTGTGGCGGTGAGCTGCAGTAAGCTCCGAGGGAGCCATGAAATTGAGGCAGGGGGCCAGCAGGTACAACTGAGAGGTGGGCTAGGCTTTGTGACCTAGCCTTTCAGAAGCGGGGGGGGGGGGGGGGGGGGAGCCAAGACCCCGAGGCTACGTAGAGGGCTTAAGCAGAGGCCGAGCCTACCAGCGAAGGGCGGGGTGCTTAGGTGGCTGCGAAGGGCGTGGCGTGGAGGCCCCGCCCCCTCACGGCCCCGCCTCCCCGCGAGGCTTTTCTTCCTCCGCCACCGAACGCCGCACGCCACTGTTCGCCGAGAGGGAGGAGAAAGCGGAGTGTTCCGGAGCTCTGCCTAGTTGGGCCCAACCTTTGCTCCAGAGATCATGGCTGCCGAGGATGTGGTGGCGACGGGCGCCGACCCTAGCGAGCTGGAGGGCGGCGGGCTGCTGCACGAGATCTTCACGTCGCCTCTCAACCTGCTGCTGCTCGGCCTCTGCATCTTCCTGCTCTACAAGATCGTACGCGGGGACCAGCCCGGAGCCAGTGGCGACAACGACGACGACGAGCCACCCCCGCTGCCCCGCCTCAAGCGGCGCGACTTCACCCCTGCCGAGCTGAGGCGTTTCGATGGCGTCCAGGACCCGCGCATTCTTATGGCCATCAATGGCAAGGTGTTCGACGTAACCAAAGGCCGCAAGTTCTACGGGCCGGGTACGGAGACAGGGCCAGGGACCCCGGGAGACAAAAGAGGGTCCGCGGGCGTGGAGTGGGGCAGGGCAGAGGCAGAGGGAGGTGGGACGCCCCAGAGGGAGGACGGAGGGAAGGCGGGCGGCTCCCCGAGCGGACGAGGGCTAGAGGCGCTGGGGGGGGGGGGGTACATACGGTGGGGGGATGGGGTGCCCGGGAACGTTGAGGCTTGGAAGCCGCGGGTGGGAGGGACAGGGAGGCTTGAAGGCCCGGGATGCTGGGGAAGTTTTCGAAGGTAGCAGGGCTTTGGCGGGTGTTGGGGGGGGTGGTGTCCTGGAAAAAGGGGGAGTCTTCGGACTTAGAAGGAAATGAAGGTGTCTCCAGAGAGGCCCAGACTCTTGAGAAGACGTGGAGGCCGATGACGCCGGAGGAGCCATGGTGGAATGTAAGGGTGTGTAGACAGAAAGTGGAGAAGGGGATTAGTGTTAGGTAGAAGCATTGTTCCTGGCAGAGAATGTGTGTGTGTGTGTGTGTGTGTGTGCGCGCGCGCGTGTGTGTGTTGTACACTGTGTGCATGCGCGGTGAGTGCGTGTTTGGTGTGCACCGTTTGTCTGGTTGGGGGGGGCGCTTGGAATGTGACGTGTGTTTGGTATGTGTATGTACGTGCTGTGCTGTGTTGGGTGGACTGAGACTGGAAGATGAACAAGCGAACCAGCTTGATGGAGAGGAGACTACGGATGCCTTAAAAGCAGAATGTGGGGCACCATAGTAACGTGGCAAGCTGATCAGAAACACCATATTTAGTGTATAGTGGGGTGGGGAGACTGAGAGGTAAAAATTTTTAAATAAAAATAAAAGAAATCAGGAGTGGGAGGGAGAAGTGGGAGGGTCCTGAGAAACAATAGGGTAAGGCTGTGAAGCCCGATGGGTGGGGGGATTTCAGGAAAAGCCAACCAGAGGGAAAACAAGGAATGGACGACTGCGGAAGTGTTGGAAAGAGCCCCCAGAGATGAGGTTTTTCCAACCCGGATTGCCTGTCACAATCACCTGATGCTTGTGAAAAACACAGATTCCTGGCCTGACCAACCATAGCCACAGTTACACGGGGGGGGGGGGGGGGGGGGGGGGGGGGGGCGGGGGGGGGGGGTGCAAAAAAAATCTACATTTTAATACTGTGCTGTAAGCGAAATTGGGAATCATCCAGATTTGGGAAGCTCTGCTTTCTAGAACATTTGGAGAGGAAGAAGAGGTTTTAGCTCCTCCAATATGGATTCCTCTAAGCACTAGGAACTCAGGGGGTGTGTTCGCATGCTCATTGGTCTAAGAAAGAGAAGAATAGCCAGGACTAATCCAAACCAGACATACCCACTCCTTTAAGTCTCCAGAGTCCAGACAATCAAAATCACATGTTTCTTGGTGAACCCTCACCCTTCCTTTTTGCTTTCAGACATTTTAGAAAATCGATTTTCTGTAAGCATGTAACTGCAAAATGATATGAAAACTACATATTATTTGTCACTATAGCAGTACATTATCAATATACAATCATGTAAATACCTGTATTATTGAGCTAAACCATAAAGCAGTCAGAACAAATGCGTGGGGTATCGACATGTGGTTGTGGTTTGCAAAGTCATCACGAGGAGCCTCGGTGCTTTCAGAGAGCACAGCTGGGAGTCAAGCGGCCTCCATTCTAAACCAGGTAGGTTGTAGTTTGCAGAGTCATCATGAGGGACATCGATGTCTGCACACGAATAACTACAACTGGAAGTCAACCAGCATTCTACATTCTAGAATGTCACTGACCAGCTGTGTGACCTGGTACAATGCATAGTTGTCTCGGGGCCTGTTTTCCCTTGGAAAAATAGGCAAGCACAGCCCCGTGTGAGGTTTCCGAGTCCCTGCTCTCCTTAATGATGGGGCTCAGGAACAGTGACAATATATATCATAGTGGAAATATTTTCTGTTACAGAGTACACCTAAAAATTATTCATTTGAGTGCCTGGTACTATGGGCACAGTACTGTTGTAGGCAAGTAACAATGAATGAAACACACACATCTCTGCTCAGCAAGCATCATCTAGTTAGTATGCTTTGTGGTTAACAAAATATATTCTCCAAAGATATTAATATTTGCCTTAGATCTTGGTTAAGTATGCATTAGCAGTCCAGGGACCATAATTTCTAAAATGGTGGAGTCCAAACCAAAATAATTTGTTTTCAAGCATTAGATGCTTCTATTTCCATTAGCAGTATACATTTGTGAAAAGCATGTGAAGCTATTTCTTTTAACTTAACCTCTAGTGGCAGCATGTAATGATAACTAAAAACGGCCCATGTTTTAGAATCTTAATTGCATTTACAAGTTGACCATAAGGGCTTGAAGTATATCTCAGCAGTAGAGTGCTTGCCTAGAATATACAAAGCTCCAATCCTACCCAAAAAAAAGGTCATAAAATTTATCTAATATGTAAGAAAAACAGTTGGGTTGCTTAAGGTTTCAGATGACCACACCATAATGAAACAAAATTAATTCTCCTAGTTGGTATAATAAAGTACACTGAATTCTTTTCATTTGCTTGTGTAATATTTAAGTAAGTCTAAACAATTAGGTGAATACAAAATGATCCACTGCTCTCAGACAAAAGCTTGGTATGATATTATACATAAGAGCATTTTCCAGGTTTTATAGGATTATTTGGAGGCACTGATGGCAGCCTTTTTTCAGTGAAAATTTTAGTTTTTTCACAACTCTTTGTGCTTATCTTTATGTTTATACTTAAAAACAGTACCTAAACTCATTTCCTTTGTTTTTAGTTCTTATTTTTTGACAGTGAAGGTTATATAACATGTGGATAGACTTTTGAACCACTGATATTTGTAAAATTATTTCTCCTGCAGATGTCTCAGGGCTTGAATCTTACGACCAAAGATCATTTAAAACATATCAGAATACATTGATAAGGAAATGTTTTCTTTACACTTTAGTGGTTAAGAAACTTTGACTGGCTTGGCTCAAGCACCTAGAATAGAGCCAACCTGTAGATTCAAAGTCCTCAAGCCGAATTCTGACTCATCTACACATTTTTATTGAATTTTCCTTATTGAAGTGATGGTAAATCTTTCAGTGTCCCTTATGTAATGATCAAAGTGTCAGTATACAGCTTAAGAGTAGAATTTGACATTTAAAAGGAGGCTTTCAGTGCTGAGAGCAAGGAAGCCATCTTCTGTATTTAAGCCACAGAGAAATGTCTAGTAAAGAATCTATCTTTGGTTTCATTTTGTTTTTAAAGAGGGGCCATATGGGGTCTTTGCCGGAAGAGATGCTTCCAGGGGCCTTGCCACATTTTGCCTGGATAAAGAAGCACTGAAGGATGAGTATGATGACCTTTCTGACCTGACTCCTACCCAGCAGGAGACCCTGAGTGACTGGGAATCTCAGTTCACTTGTAAGCATTTCTTTATATTTTGTCTGGATCAAATTTCTACCTGTAGTGCAGATTCATGATCAAACAATAGTTATTACTAAGCACCCTGAAACTTGAGTGCATTTTGATAGGCTCCTGAATCTTGGATTGATCAGGTTTGTGGCATAAAGTAATGGTAGCAGTGCTGAGTCATTCGCTGCTATGATGGCACACCAATTTTTAGCTTGTCCTCTGCAGAAACTTGGACTTCTGATGGTGATGTGTAAGTTTTTGCATAAAGGTATAGCGATTCCATATTGGGTGTGTAGGGAAAGGACAGTGGCCCTCTTGCCTACAGGAAGAGAGATTTTCATAAGCCCTCTCTTGGAGCACTTACTGCTTAAAAGCAGCCCACAGCTCTGTTGAAGAATGGGAGACTTGTATTCTTCCAAACAGCTTCTCATTGAACCTGATTTAGCCTAACTATAAATTAGGTCTCATCTATAAATGCTGCTTATAATCTGCCCGGCAACAATGGTGCTTGCATTGTTTTTAAAGAAACACTGGTTTCAGGCTCATGCTGTGTGGGGGAGGGGGTAAAGTCTTTAGAAATAAGGTAGAAATAAAGAGTTAAATTCAAATTATGAGAATGCAGGGATTGGCTTCAGTTGAACCTCAGTCCCAAGGGTTAAATTATCATTTTAAGATTACTTAATTGCCACAGATTTGAACTATAATAATCCTTGCCAGATTTTCTGAAATGTACGTGAAGACCATGACCACTTTGTTTGAGGGAGCTATTTTGAGGTGGAGGGAAGATTTTTATTTACTGACCCCCACAATCAGTTAAATAGTACATACTCTTTTGGCTATATCCAACCATATTTTTTATTTCAGAATAACCTGATCAGAGTTCTTCGTTAATAATTAGCCAGATGTGACACTACCTTTTGAGTTTGGATCTCGAGCAGACCAAGTATAGCTTTCAAGTCAGGACGCAAATCTTTGGACTTTGAAAACAACCCAGCTACCTAACATTGTCACTAACATTTGCGTCCCAAGATGCCTTTGTAATCCTAGTCTTCTATATGAAACTAATGAGTTATAATTTATAATCCTCAAAGCTCTGTGTTCTAGAGCTTTCTAGCATCAGTGGAAAACAGGTGATAATTTTCTTTATGCCCACCACCCCTTTCATCTAGGACTAGCCCCAAGATCCTGTTGTGACACCTCGGCTGTACTCAGTCTTTGTGGATTCCCCATAAGCAGGTTTCCCAGGTGCCACTTGGCTTTTATTTATCTTGCACAGTCCCAAGCCGCCGCCACCCCCTCTATGCTCTCTTCAAATAGGGAAGTTTCAGTTGTTCCCAATGATTATTTCACATAAAAGCAGCTTTAGTTACCTGTTGAGAGAGGTTAGTTACTCCTCTCCTTCCTTCCCATTTCAGAAAGGAAATGTGCATTAACCCTGTATTCACTTGGTTATAATGGAGCTTGCTGGTTCTGATTCCACACCTAACTCTCTTGTCTCCAACATCTTCAGTCCCTTCCTAGTCCCTTGCCATACCTTTAACTACCCATAGCTTTTTCCCATGCTGGGAAGTCTGTCTCCTGCTGTCCGTACCATTACTGTCTAACACATTCTCCAAGTTGCCCCTAAGCACTGCTTCCACTTTCTGTCCCCCCTTCCTCCACAGCTAGACAGGACTGGATTCTTGTCCAGGGATCATTTCCCATCTGTGGGTCTCCTGTCATGTGGCCCTCCAGAGTGGCTCCCTTTTGGCAGTCCTCATTTTAAAGGTTTACAGGCTGCCCAGTTGCCGTTTCATTAACGGATGTTTCCAGTTTGGGTTTGGTTTTTGGTTTTTTTGAAGCTATCTCATATCCTTACCTTTAATTCCTAAGGACCTTACCCTACTTCGTGGTCTGGTTCATTCACATCTGGGTCTGCATACCAGACCCCTGGCCAGCCTTCTCAACTGCTCTTCCTGAAACCTGCCCTTCCTATCTTGGTGATAACGTCGCTGCCGGAGTACTATTTTGCTGTGTCATTCTTTCCCTTATAAACTTTTGGAACCTTTGCCACTTATAAAAGTTCAGGTTTCTCAGGCTGGCTTTTCAGGTCTTTCATAATATTCCCCCACACTGATCAGCCAGACTTATCTCCTATTTCCAAATGCCAATTCAACTCCTGATGACTTGTTCTTACTGGCTTCCCAGATATGCCCAGGCTTGCCTGTGTACCTTTGGATGTGTTTTCTTTTTTCTGGAACTATCTCTCACTCAAAGTTCGTCCATACATTTTCCAAAGCATGTTTTTCTCCCATGAAGTGCTGCTCTACAGCCCCCTAATTCATAGTGTGGTCTTACTACAAATACTCCTTACAGAGTGCTCAGTTCATTTTGATACTACCAGACATTGCTTGCTGCTTTATATTTCTGTATTCGGGACAAAACTCTTCATTGCATTTTTGGCAAAGAGTATGATACAATTCTTTTATATCCTTCAAGACACCTAACATGTTGCTGAGTATGTTGTTTGGACCTCTTGTAAATGCTTTAAAATGTAGTGGGGGTTTGTGTGTGTAAAGCATGAGAATGACCATTTTTGCTTTCTTCTCTACCCTTCCAGTCAAGTATCATCATGTGGGCAAACTGCTGAAGGAAGGGGAGGAACCTACTGTGTACTCAGATGATGAAGAACCAAAAGATGAGAATGCTCGGAAAAATGATTGAAGCATTCAGTGGGAGCATATCTATTTTTGTATTTTGCAAAATCATTTGTAACATTCCAGTCTGTCTTTAAAACATGGTGATTTCAATATTTAGAAACGTTTTGAACTTGCTGTAAATTTTTTTAATTAACATCACTAGTGACACTGATAAAATTGTCTTAGAATGCATGTTTGTGTCACAAATCCAGAAAGTGAACTACAGTGCTGTCCTGCAAATGTTAATGCTGTTTTGCTTCTATCCGTAGTTAGAACAAGCTGAATTTCAATTTGATTTTCCTGAGAGAGAGCGAATACTTGGCTATTTCCACAAACTGGTCAAAATGGTAAATGTCCACAAACTGGTCAAAATGGTCAATGTACTAAGAATGAAGGATCAACTTTGAGTCATGCTGTTCTATGAAAACAAGCCCATTTTACTCAATTGACTTAACTGCATGATTTTTGTTTTATCTACCTCTAAAGCAAATCTGCAGTGTTCCAAAAACTATGGTATTGATTCTAGAGAGAAGTCCAGTAACAAAATGAAAATTCCTTGTTGGGCTTAGTTGAGACAAACACATTTCCAGTGTTTCTGGCCTGATGTAACTGTCCTTTTCTTCATGTGGACACTCTCAACACATACAGTAACTATCACACACGCACAGTAACTGACAGCTGGGACTAAAACAGCATCTGAACATTCAAAGTAGAGCTTTGCAAAAAAAAAAAAAAAAAAAAAGCCCGTAAATTACATGAAGATCGTGGGTCTGGCTTCCCAGTTCTGTTGCTTGTAGCAGGGCAATGGTTATGTGGTTATTTGACCAAATGGGAAATTTGAGAGGAACATACAGGGCAAGAACAGGTGTGTGCTTTTCAAAAAGCCTTCACCGTCATCTCTGAAGAATGAGAAAACACTACATGGCATTAGCTGAGTGATTTTTAAAGGAAAACACATTCCTAAGGTAACAGTTGAATCCTTATGTTGTTACAAAATTGTAGTCACTTCAAAAGTAGTAGTCAAGTGTCTAGGTCTCGGATAATACTCTTTGGTTATTACTAAACCTAGCTTAAGTAGATTCTACAGTTGTATAAATTTGTAAAAGTATTATATGAACAACTAGTGAGGTTTCAAACTCTCGTAATTGTAGTTAAATAGTCATTGTATTTTCTTGTGAGCCGTGTTTAATGGTTTTACCTCAAATCAGAAACAAAATGAAGTGCTTGGGTCAGTTAATAAAAAGATTTTGCCCAGTAGAGTGTGGCTAGCTTATTTGAATATTTTAAACCCAAGAGCTGGGGGGTAGGGGGTAGTGCTTGCAATGGCTGGCTATGGACATGCCGAGGCTACCGCACTCAGGAACTCCCAGCAGCTGTGCTGACCTGCTCATCGGCCAAAGTTCAAGAACCAATTGAAGAGAAGCTCCTGATCCCACGCTATCTGAGGAGCTATTGGTAGTTGATGGCCAGTAAGGTGGGCATAGCCAATTTTCTTTGAAGGTGTGACCACTAATAGATTACTCATGCTCCGGCACCTTACACCCACACACATACAGGCAGCACTAATTAGATGGAGTGGGCTATTTTTTTAAAGACTAGGGGACATGTTCGAGAGGGTCCAGGAGAGTTGAAGTTTAGATATGGTCATAACACACTGTTATGTGTTTATATGTGTCAAATTCTCAAAAAGATAAATTGTAAGAAATTTAATAAATCATATTTAGTCATGTGACTTTAGCTTAACATTGAGTTTAACTTTTGGGTGTTAGGCTTCTGTGTGTACAAAGAGGAACAACTATGTAACCCTAGCACTGGGAAACTGAGGCAAGAAAAGTTAAAGGCCTGCCTGAACTGCATAGAAGGAGGGAAATAGAAAAGAAAGGAAACAAGTTGAAAAATAGTGAGCTGAACTATATTGTGACTTGTCAAATTCTGCCTCTGAGTCAGCTTTCTAAACTGAAGACTATAACAATGTTATTAAGAAATGTTACTACTGGAGGCACTGGGGTTACCAAATGTTAAAGGAGTTTAGGGGGTTTATGGCAGGAGTATTTGGCTTTTGTTTTCCTAAATATTTTTATTCTTTGGGAATTTCATACACGCCATGTGTTTTGATCATATTCACACACACACCCCACTTTACCCATAACTCCTATCAGACTAACTCCTATCCCTTCCCCAAAATATGCCCTCTTCAAAAACAAGTTCAACTTATGCTACCCATAGGCAAGGGGCCATTAACTAGAATGTGGTCGACCTACCAAGGGACATGAGTTGCTTGGTTTTTTATTCAGAATAAGCATCCACACAGTCCTTAATGTTTCAGAAAGAGCTTGTGAAACCCAACAAGGAACATTACAGCTCTAAAGTGCACAGAGTTAAAGGCACAGTCTATCTTCATTATATAATACTTGGAAGAAGTTTGCTATTTTATGTACAAATACAGTTAACTCTTGAATGATCAAAGACAAATTTTGGGCCTAAGCTCCTTGGACTAGACTCCCCATTCCACATCCATTTCTTTGTGGACATCTATAAACTTTAAGTTTCACACACAACTGAGGGAATAGGATGAAATGGAATTCTCTAGAATCAATTTTGCTACCATTGAACAGCACTGATAAAACATACTATGCCAAATATGGTGGCATACACATGTATTCCCAGCACTTGGGAAACTGAGGCAGGAGGACCAGGATTTCAAAGCCAGCCTGAGCTACAAGTAAGATCCTGTCTCTAAAAAATGTGTGTTTATCCTTAAACAGGACATCTATATTAACCCCACCCACCATCACCACTAAGGTTCTGGGGTCATCACTTAAGAGAAGGCAGAGAGAACCTAAGAGCCAAAGGATGGGGAAGAATGCTGGGAAATGCTGTCTTCTGGACATGCCCTGGCCATCACTCCCCCATGCACTCAAGCAGCTCTGCTTACCTGCGCAAGGTCAAGCCAGTCAAAATTCCAGGATAGATGGTAGAGGTGATCTCCAGGCCCCACCCTATACTGAGGAGCTATTAACAGTGGATAGTTGCTTGGGAAGGGGGAATCATTCTTTGAGGGTGTGGTCACTGGTAGGTTTCCCACAGTCCAGTGGGTGGCCGATTCACATATGCGCAGCACTAACTAGACTTAGTGAGTTCTCAAAAAACAAAAAGACATTAAATTGGAAGGGAGTGAATTAGGGAGGAAAACGAGGGGAGATGGAGAGAAGTGGGGGGGGGGGCAGATTAGAACATATTTCATTATATACCTGTATGAAATTCTCAATAATTTTAGATGTACCTAGAGGAGGATAATTTTGAGTCTAAATATGATTTTGGTTTATCCAAAATGAAAAAGAAACTGTTTTTTTTGTTCTATCAACTCTGAGTCAGTTCCTATCATAAAGGAGAGGTAGAATTAAAATATTGAAATGGGTTGGAAATGTTATGGGTGTGCATTGATCTAGCCAGTCAATAGTCACTATTGACAATTTTATTTTTTAATATATGAAAATTAAATATGCATTTCTCTAACAATGCAAATAAGCAAATAGAGCGACATTAGTGCAACATATACTACAGATAGAAACTTCTCCCCAAAGTGGAATCAATCACCATTTATTTTAAAATCAACACATTAAACAGTTTTGCAACAAAAACACATTGATTTGGTTGTGTTTTCAAATTACCTAGGTTACATGGCTTTCTACCTGAGAAATTCAAACAAATGAACAAAGTACATTTACAGGCTTTTCCTTTACAGGATTAGCAGCACATACAAGGAAAGCATACGAAGACTCCTATTTAACTAAAAACAACTCAGGCCCTTGTTTGATAAGACAAAAAGAAGATACGAGAAAATACTTTCCACAACTTAACAACAATATCCAGAAGAAAAGTAGTCGTAACAGTTTGTCCCATTACATTCTTTACTAAGCCGCCGAATGACAAGCACAAAGCTAGCGATTACGTTTCTTGTGTAAGGCCTACACCGAAAAGAGGTTGACACCAATCTACAATGCATTACCACAGACAGATACGAAACTCCGGGGTTCAGCAAAAGTGGCCCCAGGAGAGCATTCAGCAAACAAATCGAACAGGACAAAAGTGCTGCATCTATTACAGAAAAAACTCTGCACATGCTGCTGAACTCTGCAATTTTATTTTTATTTTTTTACTGAGCAAAAATGCCTAAAACCTCTCAAGAAAAATTATCAAATGAGGGAAGAAGTTGAGTGGGTTTTGTTTGTTTGTTTGTTTGTTTGAAAACAATCAGCTGTTTTCTATTACAAACCCATAATGTATTTCGTTTCAATGGAATAAAATGGTGGGGGGGGGTTGGCAGATTTTTATTGGAGGAGAATAATATGTTGCCAGAAAACTGTCTGACAAAATATGAGCTGTAATTTCGAAGGCTACTTTGGGCAACAGTACTTTGAACATGAATAGTCATGAAGTCATTGCTAGTCCTCAAAAACAAAACAAAAAAAGGCACTCTCAACCCGTGAGCAATCTTTTGGATTGGACAAGTCAAACCTAGTTTTAACAGTGAAACCAATCACTGGCTTGAAAGTGGGATTCAACATGAGAGGCAGCACAATATTCATTTGTTTTTATATTAGTGATACATGTGGATCTGTAACACTCCTTTCTGAACTTTGAAGTGGTTGAACAAACCTCTCTTCAAATAGGAATATGCAGATCAATGAAACAACCTGTGGCTTTTACTTCAGGTACATCATAAGATTTTGTAACCGCTTTAGACACAAGGCTGCTCAAGAGGCAGTTTATGGGCACACAATGTGACACACGATGGTAAGTAACCCCACTGACTGGCATCCTGCCTGCCTCCACTAGCAGATGTGTTCCTGCAGAATGTCAAATGGAGACTGAAATGAAATTGCTGCCCTTCACTGCGTCTGTGGATTCCAAACAACTATTCCTGTTGCAGGCAGTCTCTAATTGCACGAATCACCAATCGCCAGGTCAGGTATAGCTTTGCTGGGAAAATGAAGGTCAACTAACTGCCCTGAGGTCCTGAATCCAAGGTAAGGCAGAAAGAGTCGGCCAAGCTTTCTACAGAACGTGCACTGTACTAAGGGGTAAGTCTTCAGGAATCTACAAATATCTCAATTTAAAAACGTATTTAAGAAGTCCAAAATGAGTCAGCAAAAAGATAAATTGCTTATTTAACATTGTTTACAAATTCTGCACACATACAATTTTTCCACAGCTAGAAAACTATGGACTTTTCTTAATTCTTCCTAACTCCGTGGCATTGTTAAGGACAGAGGAGGCACTTGCTACTGTTTTACAAAAGTCAGTTTGGGGGATATTCAGTGACTTTTTACAAACTGATGTCACCCAACCCTGAGTGAAAGGATTACATAGCCTGAAATAGAATACTGTCAAAACTTTTCTTCCCAAGTGCCATTATTGATGCTCCAGGATTTTTTGATATTTCCTTTTGCAAATCCCCCTGATTTTATAAATTCTATCCTGGTGCTTTATTTTTGTATGGAAAGATATGGGGTTCATAAAACAAACAAGAAAAATTCTAATGGTCCCATCTATTTACCCATCAAAGGGTAATCGGCCCTTTTAGATTCTTCCTCTTCGAGTACTGTGAACATATTCATTTCCTTCGGGTGGGTATTCATGAAATTCTAAAGCCATGAAATCTATTATAGGTTCTAGCCTCTGGATCTCTCCTTTATCTAGAATTGTTATGAAGTAAAATTCAGGAAAGTTTGTTACCATACATAATGCTTCTGACCAAATCTACGAACACATCAAACGATGCCCATTTGTCCACCATTGTCCTCTTTGAAAACAGATGACGCATGATGTTATGACAGCAAAAGAGCCACTGAAGGTTAGTCAGCCTTCTTAATGCTAGTCTGCTCCTTTACTGGTACCAAATTAAAGCTTGAAATACAATCTGTCCTCCGATCATGAAGTTTTGCAATGACATTGTTTCACCAAGCTTCAGAACCGGCAGGTTTTTTATTTCCAAAGCTTGCTGGCATACCTGCTGTCATTTTGATCCACACTTGAAACTTTGGCAAGAGGAACAAGCTTTGGCACTTGACCCTCTTCTAGTTCTTACTCTGTGGTTGCTAACAACATAGCTATATTTGGTTTGAAGTTTTTCTTTTCGTCAGTTGTTTCTTGTAAATAAGGGTGTTCCTGATCAAAGTGGCCGTCAGAACATTTTAAAATACAAAGAGCCAGAGTAGCTGTCTCCCAAGTAGCTTCCATACTCAATGTGCTCC